GAAGTGGTGGCCGATGCTGGGACTCTGCTTTCTTTTTACACGCCTGCGAGGCAGTGTGAGAAAAACGGCGAGACTATGTGTCTCTGGTTATCTCTGCCGAGGCAGAATACGACTCAGTTCAAGGCCTTGAGAGAGCTCGCCTTGAAGCGAGTGAGTGAGGAAAGATCTGCGGAGCAGCTCTTTTATATCTCGTCGATCGAAGCTTGATCGCGAGAAGGTTCTTCACCGCCTGCGCAACCTGGCGGTGGGTCCGCAAGCTTGTAACTGGTAGAAGGCCTGCGGCGCGTAGCGGCGCCGCGATGTATTATACCGCGTCAGTGCAGCGGTGTGGCGGTGAGCCGCCACACATATAACATTTTTCTCCAATTAGATATATAGTATTATACTATATACATTTTTCAAATAAAATATTTTAAGTATCTAATTTATATCTATTAGACACCTCGTATAAGTCTATTTCGTCTCGTATGTATATCATACAGGCATACGAATTTTAATCGCGAGGAAAAAGGTACGAAAATATAAACGGACCACACGTATAGTAAATTAATAACTAAAAGAAATACGTATTTCTTAAAATCTGCCAGCTCACGATAGATCGCCTCTGACAATATTTCTTACAATTTACCAGCTTACGAATAAATCGTCTTTAGCTCTTTTTTTTCTAAACTGTCAGCTGACGTTAGATCACTTCCAACTATATTTTTTAAAAATTGTCAGCTCATGATAGACCGCCTCTGGCTTTTCTAATTCTAAATTGCCAGGATACGATAGATTACCTTTGGCTTTTCTAACTCTACATCGCCAGGATACGTTAGATCGTCTCTGGCTTTTCTATTTCTATATCGCCAGGATATATAAGATTGCCTCTGGCTTTTCTATTTCTACATATATATATTATCTATATTTATATCAAAATATCTATGTAAAAAATTAACACCATTTTGTATACCGTTTTTACAAGAAATGTATATGATATATGCCACATTTTTTATTTCTAAAGCATGAAATATAATGATATTTTTAATTTCTTGTGTCTATTATTTGTAAAAAAATCTTGATAAAAGAAACAACATTAATTTTGCGACTTGTAATAATCTGTTTTAATATATGCTTCCTTTAAATACTTAAAATTAGCCTTATTTTACGTGCTTAACTTGGTATTTAAAATACATATTAAAATTGAAAATGTATTTCTATTACAGTAGAAAAATAACATTGTTGTCTTATAACAAAAATGGCAAAATATAATATTGCCTAAAGTACAGTCCAATAAAAACTGTTAAAATTGAACATTTTATA